CACCGTACATTTTGGACAGTGAAAAATCGTGTTTGGGACATTTCATATGTCGCAAAACAGTTGCAGGATGCCACTGTATGTCAGTAACAAAATACAAAACATTTAAATTATTTTAATTAATATAAAGCATTATTTGGAGGTTCATTCCGCTGTGGCCACCCCGGATTAATAAAAGGGACTAAGCCGACAAGAAAAAATGAAAACATTTTTTTTTTTTATAAAACAGCCTACATTTTTGTAAAATTGACATAAATCTGACTGCATTTTCTAGGTAAAATGGATCCTACAGAACAGTGTGATGGCAACATTTTTCGTTCCTTTGTACATTAAGGATATTTACAATGACATATTATTGACAACAAAATTTTTTGAACACTTTCTTTGTACAAAACCAAATAAATACCAAAAACATGTTATTTATGATTTATAATCAAATACATTTGCCTTACCTAAAGTATTTATGGACATATGAATGACTTTTCTGGTGTGGCCATTGTTTCTCAGTACACTTTGTATGGCGTTGTACTTTTGATGTAGAGCACTCAGGATCAGGTCCAACCATATAAAAGGGATACTTCTAACTAACTTGGGCTCTTTCTGAAAATGTATCCCTATATACATTTCTGGAGATTGCGAATTATGTAGCCATGAGTAAGTATGGCTGCATTTCGCCTATAAAACGAATGTTACGGGGCGGTGTGATACCCTTCCTTTTTGCAGTAGCAGCTGACCACTTACCTACCTATGGGCGGCTTTCCCACAGTTACCAGTTTGTTTAGTTAGATCACCATGTACGTCGGCGGACTTGAGACACAGAGAAAGGTTGACTGCAACAACGGGGTTTGAGTCTGATGAAGAACCATTCCAAAAAGCAAGACAAAAACAAAAGCCAAAAAATAAGAAAATAACAGAAAAAAATGTGGAAAAACTGAAAACGGGTTCCTTTGGGTTTAGGGAATGAGGTGGGTGATGGGATCAGATGGCCGGTCAATCAGTCAGTCAGTCAAAAGCGGTGTATTCACCTGAGAAGAGCACTCGTGAAAGAAATTTGAAATCTTAAAGCATACACAGTCCCCTCTGGTAGATTTGAGAAAAAAAAAAAAAAAAAAAAAAACCTTCTGGGACATATTTGGTGCTCTCCAGGAATGCAGATAGGGCTATGTTTTCAGAATGATCCTGATTTGACTATGGGGTCACAATGCACTTTTTCTTTTGTGTTTGCTTTTGAAAAGGAGCTTAGCTCCTAGCAGTTTAACTTAGTGGTACGACCAACTCCACCTTCTCGAGTGTTTCTGAAAAATGCAACAAAACGTAACTTACACTTTAAAAAATGCAGATTTCCACACAATCAGTTTGTGTTAGGACAACATGAAGGAATTAAGTTAACTTATTAGTATTTACAAATTTAAGTTGATTGAACATAAATCACTCCCAAAAAATCTAATTTAAAAGAAAGTAGTTTTTAAAACAAATAGCTAACATAATTTCCAGATTCACAACAATATAAACAGCAAAAATATTGGTCAAGGTGTGTATTTTAGATGAGCCTGGGCTGGTATTTATGACAAAAACTGCAGTGATGCAAGTATAACACCAATCTGTCGATAAACACACACATTCTCCTCTGTTTCTGTTTTGTTTTGGTCTGACGAAAGAAGGACGTGCTGAAAATGGAGAGGAGTCAACGTTTCCGTATTCATATTACATTTCAACAGGATAGAAAATATTATAGTTATACAGTTTATGAAGCACAAAGCAACTGTTTTAATTTGCAGTAAACTACTATGAAAAGAGCTGGTCTCAGGCTGACGGATGTGTGTCTTTAGTGTGGAAAGAGTGTTGAAGTTGTTTTCGCATTGAGTGAGTGGGCTGATTTTCTCAGACAAGCGGCAGATGTGCCAGGCTGTGACTCATGCCACCTGCACTGCTCCAGCAGGTGGAAAAATACTGCAGACTCCTTCCCCAAACTGAAATACTGCAAAACATTTGCCAAACATTGCTTACAATTTACATCATAATATATGGGAAGTGTTTAGTTTAATTGAATTGAATTGAACTGAATTTAATTTAATTTAGTTCAAAAAAAAATTTTGTATTTCATTTCAAAATGTAGTTCAAAAACAAATTAATATAGATGATATTACAGTTTTTACTAATATTTTGAAAAAATGTCATATAACTATTTTAAATCTAACAAAGAATAGATAATACTAGTACATTTTAGAAATAAATACAATTTCTCCTTCAACATTTTGCACTTAATTACTTTAAGTTTAATTACTTTTAAATTTAATGTTTTAAAGTAATATTTTTAAATTAAATGGTATATATGATAAACATCCCCCAATTAAAAATAAGAAATTGGCAAAACTGTAAAAACAGATTGTTTACTTAAAAAAATGAGTAAACTCATTGTCTTAAAAGTGACAAGCAGACTTTACTCATAAAAGCAAGAAAAACCAGCGGCCTGGTGGGACCAGGGCTGGCATTGTTCTTGCTGTGGGGCTAACCACTGGGCTGCCATGCTGCCCGATCTTTGGTAAAGGAGGAGAATGGGGAGGAAGGGGGGTTTCTTCCAAATGAAGATAAAGACTGTGGTTATTTATAGTAGCTTAGGACTCATATGATTGGAAGATCATGATTAGCTAATACCAGACTGGCTGTGATAAATCATAAGCACGTGATCCTCTCGAAATAAGTTTATAAATAAACCTCACTAAGTCAAAATGATTTACTTACTAAGTTTACAGTACGTTAATATCACTGCAATATTATGTTACAATATTATAGAGTGAAAGATCCACTGTAAATGCTGCTCTCCAAATGTAAACATGTAAACACCGCAATCAAACTATTACCGTCGTGTAGTATTTTCGCCGTATTCACAATAGTCTACACACACGGCTTTCTGACGATATGTTACCTACCGAGTGCATCTAAGTTACTGGGAAATGCCAGCCTGATCTCACGAGAAAACGTAAATATTTTACGTTTTGGCAGTTTAGTGGCTAATTCATACGAATTCGTACGAATTCAGTCGTAAGAAAATGTACGATTTTAAAAATGAGGCGTGGCACCTCACCCCACCCCTAAACCCAACCGTCATTGGGGGATACGCAAATCGTACTAAAATGTACGAATTAGATTTTACGAATTTGTACGAATTAGCCACTAAATGAAAAAGTAACGAATTGTTGTGAGATTGTGTTGGAAATGCAGAGTTTTTTTTTTTCTCCCATTCACTGTGCGCTATCAAACATTTCATTAAAACTACAGTCTTCCAGCAGTTTCTTGCATACAATATCTCGTTTGTCACGGGGGGCATGCATGAAGTGTTTCTGAATGAAAGTGAAAGTGAAAAACTGCAGTTAAAGTCAACAAATTAATAATTTGGCAAATAATTTTATTGTGAAAGCAACATTTACTCATTTTAAGTAAAATCGTAATATTTGTACAGAGAATGTAAAAAACAAATGATAATACTAATAATCAGATCATATGTAAAGACATTGTACAGGTTTTTCTATCTTACACTGTAAAAAATACAATTTCTTCATGTTGCCCCAACACAAAAATTGATTAAGTTAACCTTTTTTTTTCAAAGTTAATTGTATTGAGCATAAATAAAATTGTCCGTTGTTCCAGCAAAACTTAAGAATTGTATTGCTTCAACTTGTTTTATATAAGTAGCTTGAAAAAGCAGCATGTCATTTTTTGTAGTGTACAATTTTACATTCAATTCAGTGTATTACCTGAATCTCAGGATTCATTAAAAAACATCTTCATTAGAGTTTTAAAACTGAACTTTCAAAGGCTAATTTGTAGTTTAAAGGGCACTTATTTTGCCCCTTTTAAGCTTTAAGATAAGTCTTTTGTATTCCAGAATGTGTCTAAAGTTTCAGCTCAAAGCACCCATCATATTACTTATTATACCTTTCAGAATGTTAGAATTTTCTGCTCTAAACACAATGTTCTGTAGCAGTTTTTGTTGCCTGTGCCTTTATTGCTAGATCGCCCTGCCCACCATTCCCGTGTGCCTGTCAGAGTGTGGCTCAATCTCTATTTGCGTGCGTCAGATATGCACAGTAACAGACATGAAGGAAGCAGATCTCACGTAATGTTTCTGAGAAATACTATAGTAAAAACTTTCCCGAAGACTATTATTTTATTGTTTTGGAGTTAATTCAAGCCTTTCTGCAACAATGAATAAAATTGTAAAACTTATTCTTGATCACATTTGATGATGATTGATGATCACAGAGAGCTGAACAGATCTTTTAATCCCAGTTGCTTTGCGCACCTCCTGTCTTGTGATTAGGTTATACACGTTACCACGAAAACATGTTAATACGCAGGTGTCAATCAAATCAGTGGGCAGGGAAACCACACTCCTACATCACGTTGTGGTGGGCCTCAAAATAGGAGGGATTTGAATTCTATTTTAGTGTCAGGAATTTAAAAAAATGATTTATTTTCTTTATATCACCCCAATATGGCTGTGGACACACTATACCTAAACACAGTTCTGACCAAACAGCTTACAAAAGATGATCTTCATCATAGCTGCCCTTTAAATAATATATTTAATAACAGAATCTGCATTTTTGGGTGAACTGTCTGTTTAATCCTGATCTTCAAGCTTTACTCTTCAGCAATAAAGGCCACTTTATCCATGCTGGTAGAGTTTGTTTAGGGATGTGTTTCAGGACTGATGTGTTTTGGTAAAGGGGAAGCTGAGTGTCTAATTGCGTATGTCCACAGCTCTCGGGTTAAAGGCAATTAGAGTAAATGAGGTTTAATGGTGCTGCAGTTGGCCAGAGTGCCAGCTGCTCATTTAAGCTGACATGTTCTCACCCCTGGACCGCCCTCAATCCTCCAAACCCTGTCTAACTGCACATGTCCCGCACCACACCATCCTCATGTCATTTCACACTGCTCTTTTTACATGCAAACTCACTGCGCTTCCTCTAAACTCATTATTTTATCTTCACCTAATGCAGCATTAGGAAAATTCAAAGGTACTGTGCACCTCCTTTTCTGTAATAACTTTTAATACTTTACTTAACAAGCATTGCATTCTATATTGATTCATGTGCATTGAAGACACTATTGCTATGAAGTTTTTTTTTTTTCATTAAAAATATGAAAAATGTGTCACTGTTTTCTTTAGCACCAAATAAGCATGTTGACATTTTATTATGTAAATATTTCAAAATAGCACTGATTGTGGTGTATTTTATCAAATAAAATCGCCTTAGTGAGCATGCAGATCTTTAAAAAAATATTCAAAAGGATATACCTACTATAACAGGTATAAGAATCAAAATTGCAAAACAATTGATCTCCACAGTAATGTAATACTAATACAGGGTAGATAGTAATAATCTATCATGGAGAATTGCTATTACCCTCTGACATATGATATTTATACAGTTGTGTGAAAAGGTGTTTGCCCCCTTATTGATTTATTTGTTTGCATGTTTGTCACATTTTACCATTTCAGATCATCAAATAAATTAAAATATTAATATAAGATAGCATTAGTTTCATTTTGCTAGCCTCACCCAGGCATAATTACTGCCACGCCTGTTTGCAATCAATAAATCTTTTAAGTAAGATCTGCTTGACAGTTATGAAGGAGGTTATGAAGCAATTTCTAAAGCATTAAGACTGCAGTGAATCACAGTGACAGCCATAATCTATAAGTGGCAAAAACATGGAACAATACAGAACCTTCCCAGGAGTGGCTGGCTGAAGAAAATTACCCCAAGACCACTGCGAAAACTTATCCAACAGGTTACAACCAATATACAATGAACTGCAGGCCTCACTTTACTCAGTTAATGAAAGTGTTCATGACTCCACCATAAGATAGCGATGGGGCAAAAATTATTTGCATGGCAGAGCTCCAAGACAAAAACCACTGTTGAATGAAAAGCATAAACACTGGCCTCGGTTTTGCCAGAAAATGTCTCAGTTACTAACATAACCCTCTTTCCCCGAAGAGGGATGGAGACATGTCTGAAAAACACTTTGGGAGACACTTCTCGGCTCAGCAGGTGCCAGTGATTAATCAATAGTAGAGTGTATAACTGGCAAGGGCAGAGCAAGCAGTCAGATTTTTAGCCTGCTGAAGAGCCGAACACTCGGCTATCAGCTGGACACCCTGCTGCTGCTATTCAGGGAACAAGGGTTACATCAGTAACTGAGACGTTCCCCTTCATAGTAACTCCGACGTGTGCCTGGAAGACACTTTTGGTAGAGTTTATGTAAAAGAACACAGCAGCTAAGACTGTCACGCCCCTGATGTAAAGTTTGCCAAGCATAGCGTGAGGGAACAAGCATTACCAAGGGCATAACTTTCCAATTTGCCCTAGGCAATACCGTTACATGGGAAAAATTTAGAAGAATTTAGATAGGAGTTTATAAATGTGCTTTTACCTAGCTAAGAGTAGTGTAGGAATTTTTAGATGATTGGGAAAGCATGCCAGTCCCTGAAGGGCCACCTGCTACCCAAATAGGGAGACCTGATGGCAAAATGGACATATGGGCTAGCCCTAACAAGGGGGAGTGCTACATATGATAAGCTGGTTTGGGGGTAGGGAATACACTGGTCCACCTGAAAAGGGAGAACACACTCTGGCAGAAAGACGCATATAGGATCACCAATGGGGACAACGCTGGCACCGTACCCCAGCATGCGGGTAGATCAAGCGGACATACCAGACATTGTAATGGGCCAGGCACCTAGCTCCTCTGCTAAGTCAAGTGCTGGGGGCCTCGGAGAAACTCTTTAGGGTTCACAAAATGGAGAACTCACTTAGAAGAGCAGAATAATCGCATGTATTTTCGAGTTAGGTAGCATGTCGCAGCAAGCATTTTTGACACTGGACTTAACTTCCTCCTGATTCACCAGGGTTACCCAGTAATCAGGAGGAACTGGCTCCACTTGAAGATTATTTAAAATCTTGCGAATGTGTTAGGTGTCACCCAGCCTGAAGCTCTACAGAATTTGTTAGGGAGGTCCTCCATGCATGATAAAACAGAGTGCCCGACAGGGAGCCTGAGTGAGAGGACCTACTGCCATGTTCCCCCATTGTACATGAAGAATTGGAGTGAGCATTCTTCAGGTCTTAAGTTGCAACCAATCCTATGGACAAACGGACATTCTGCATGAGCCTCTTGACCAGCATCCTGAACAGATGACAGATCAAAATGCGAAAATTTTAACCCACCGCTCTCTGGCTACGATGAAGTACAGGCATTAAACCCGGTCTCCATCTTGGCTGGAGGGACTAGCTTGATTGTATCCTTCACCAGGACAACAACAATTTCCTTGTGCAAGACAGGGGTGGTATGGCAATGGCTGCTTTAAATACACAACTGTGAACTCGAGAGGCAGACAGCAAATTGAATCGCATAGCCGGGTTTGACCATCCACATGAGCTATTATGGTGGGTTAAGCAGCGCTAACCAAGCTGATAGAGTGTGAACGAGCAGCATCACCGGAACGATCACTGATGTATCCGTCAATGGGGCAGCTTGTGGATGGGGGGGAGCTTCACGTAGTGGATCATCCCGAGGAATACTGAAAATAAGAGTGGCGCGATCACGAGCCAGTAGAAGAAGCTGTGACGGTGCAGCATCTTTGAGCCCTTCTTGACAAGTAACAGCCAGTGCAGACAGGTACGGCAGGGTAGCAGTTCTCCGAGCCGGCCAAGAGATGACCTGCTCCATCACACATGACTTATTTCTCACCACGGGGGACTCCTGGGTAAAGTTACTGACAGTGTCACAAATTAGGCCAGCTTGGAATATGGATGCGCCAAGAAGAAAACTTTGTTGGCATTACGCATATCTACCAGGGTCAGCCAAGGGTGACATTTTTAGACCACTGTGTGGCCATCGTCTTCCCCAGGGCACGGGCAGCCAACTTGAAAGTCATGAGAGCATAGTCGATGAACTTATGCATAACCTTAAGAAAGAACCTTACTTGTACAGCACGGCCAGGTGCAGGGCAGAAACACCATGGCTTGTGGTGGTGTGGCCGTTAAAGACACATATAAGCCTCCTGCCTTGGACCTGGTTCCAGGTAGCGGCCACCATCACTTAAGGAATAGATTTATACCCACGGGCCGCTTCGCCACTGGGTAGTGAAAAAAAAACCCTCTATAACTGTGTGTGCTCATTGTTTGTCCCCGGGAAGAAGGGAATAGGAGCTGGAAAGATTAATCATATATCAGCCCACATGTCACATCCCTCTTGTCAGTCCGGTGGTGAGCCTGGGGAACAAGCCATCTCCAACCCCACTGCCGAAGCAGCCCAGGAAGCGCAGCCCTCATGTCCAACTCGAGAACCGTGATCATGCATTACACCCTGTAAGGTGGTAGCGATCCCCATCTGTCATCTGAACATGCCTCAGATGACACGATGGCCTTCTGATCTCCGGTGTCATCAGGTGGAGGTGCAGGCATCCCGAGGGATGAACCGACACAACCACACAAAGCTTGTGTAGGGCACGCTGCTTTAGGAGTGGGTTGGTTCGCGGGTCCCGAGGCAACAGATAAACTCCCCCTGTGATCCTCAGATCTGCATATGTGCTAACCTGCACTGGTAGGAATACTGCTTTCTTGATAAAATCAGCTTAGCAGAGGTACTCTTCAGTGTTTAGTGTGAGGCTCTGAAGCAAAAATCTAACTGCTCACTCTGCCTGCGCTAGTTGTACACTACTAATAATTAATCACTGGCACCTGCGAACCTGAGCTCTGCCAATTCATTGGCATTCATTGGTCCATTTTCTTACTCTATTACTGACCTCAAGCTGAAGCTTACTTAGGTTCTGCAGCATCACAATGATTCAAATAACACATACAAATCCACTTCTGGGTGACAAAAAAAAAAAGACTTAAGAGTGGCCTAGTCAAAGTCTTGAACTGAATCAAATTAAGATGCTGTGTCATGACCTTAAAAATGTGGCACTGTAATAGACATATTGGAAGTTATCAAAAACGCTTGAGTGCAGATTTTGCTGATAAGGGTGGCCCAACCAGTTATTAGGTTTAGGGGCTATCACTTTCTCATACAGGGCTATGTAATTTTGTATTTTGTTTCAAAACTGCATGATGTGTTTAATTGTGTTTTTTTTTTTTTTGACTAATATTTAAACATTTTTTGATGATCTGATATACTAAATTGCGGCAAACATTTTAATGAATAAGAGATTGGTAAGGGGCAAAACATTTTCACATCATTGTATGTGTGTATATATGAAGAGTTTAGATGCAAAACCATATGGAATTTTCTATATTTTAGCAATGGCCTTGAGCATGATGGATGTCCTTCTTGTAGGACTCCTTTAATGACAATGAGCATACCCTATGCACCACTTTGGTCTCAGACCTCACAGACCCCATGCTTGCCTCCTCTTCCTTGCTAAATTAGATCAAGTGCTGATTTCCACTGTGTTGTACCACTAGTAGTGATGATTCTCTCGAACCAATCAGTGATCAGCAGTGAGTATATGTCACACTTTAGTTAGGATATGGCTACCTTTAAACCTCACATGAGGTGGTGCTAAAAGAATACTATGCATGGAAAGCAGCATAAAAGCCTCCAAAAGAGAGTTGTATTGAATCACACCATATCATTCAGTGGTTATGAACCAGTCCAGACACCTCACTTCACAAATACAAAATATCATGAGGACAAAAGAGTGCATGGCTGAGGAAACTCAAAAGGACACAAAGACAATATGATCACAGTTCAGTACCAGGAAACCAACCAGATGACAAAATCCTGACAAATGTAACCCTAAAGCACATGATGATTTAAAGAGGACAAAATCACCTGTATACTTTAACAACACACATGTCAATGGCGTCTTGTATCTTGTAGGTTAATGTACATCTAGTATATGTTCATCTACATGAGGGTTTCTCAACTCTAGTCCTTCAGATCCACCTTTTCCTGCAACTAAGATCTGCTTGTAACTTCATAAGCTGCATCTCAATTCAGAGCATGTATCCTTCAGTCTGGGAAGACTGACCTGAGCATCGTAAAGTGAGATGGTCTTGCCTACAAATGACTGATCTTATCTCCTAGCAACTGTATCAGCTGCTGCTAATGAGCAGCAATACCCTTTTATTGGACTTTTTATTGATCTTAAAACTCATTAAATATGAAAACAAAGCAAGCTTTATAAATTGTTTAAATACACCCACTTTGCTCTATGTATGTACAAATCATAACATATATATATATATATATAAACCATTTATTAAACCAGACCTTAGTAATAGTTCTCAGTTGACTCATTTAAAGGCATAATTTACACAAAAATTATTGATTATTTAGTCACTACAATCTTGTTCCAAGCTTGATTGAGTTTTGTTGTTCTGTTGAACATAAAACATTATATTCTGAATAATGTTGGATAAAACAGGCATTGACTTCCATTATATTTCTATTCCTACCACTAAAGTTTTTTTTGTTTGTTTTTTATCAGTGTAATTTGTTTCAGTTTTTTCCTTTGTCTTTATCAGAAGAGAGGTTTGGAACAAGTGAAGGATGAGTAAATAATGATTATATTTAAATTTTGAGTAAATTTCCCCAATAAATGTGTAATCTTGGTTTTCCTTTAAAAAAAAACATCTAGTCAAAATCTGTCCGCAATGAGTCTTGCAATGAACTTGGCCAGAGGTTCCACTCAATACTGGAGTGCCGGTCTCCTGAAGAGTTTAGCCTTGATTCAAATTAAACCTACCAGAAGATTTCTAGTATACCTAAAATCTTGATTAGCTGGTTAAGGTGTGTCTAATTGGGGTTCGGCAGGAGACCAACCCTCCAAGACTGAGTTTGGGCACCACTGTACTACGCAATGAAAGATTTTTTTGAGTCTACATTTGAAGGAGCCTATGAATTAAGACAGCCTTCGATGTGCTGTGATAATGCAATCAGGCTTCAAAGGATGCAGCCTCGAAGATCAGACACTTCTTATAGAAATCTAGAAGACATTAGCTGTTTTTAATCCAAGAACACAGAGAATAGACATTCTCATGGAGGCTAGTTTTACCTTGGAAGAACAAAATGGAAAAGAAAAGAGAACACAGAACACATCCTGAATGTAGTGATCTTACTGGTGGTCACATTAAATAAAATGCTGAATATTATTAAGTGTGTGCATAAGCCTTGTTGACCAAGCTGCTTTGTGCAATCCAAATTGAATCTCAGGAAATGCCTTTATTAAAATTATCAATTAAAAGTTATGTGAATGTTTAATTTTCACCATTGCATTTTCAATCAACTCCAGTGAGAAATTCCTGCATCTCTGAGCTGTAATTAATTGTGAATAAAGAAGTGCCGCTTCTTTTTTTTTTCTATTTCACTTCAGTGTGAAAACAATCATGGCCACAGTATTGGAATGCTGTTCTGTTTAAATCTGGCCAATTTGAAGAGCCCTTTGGAGTTAAGGATTTCGAAACGTACAACTGATGAACACTTCAGGCCCCTATGATCCTTTTGTTTGAGGAGGATCCTTTTTTTGGTGTCGAACAGTGTTTTTATTCAGAAGTGCTTATCCCTATGTCCTAATTCCTTCAAAGCTGTCAATCTGCTATAGTGAAAAATTAGTTTTTTATTTGGATTTTGTATTGGTAATGTCTCAGTTTTCAGTTTCAATCTCAGATTGTTTATTTCCTTCCAGCCAAAAGGCTGCAGGGCTTTCTTTTACACTTTATTGTCTCATAGCCAACTAAATATAAGAGGTGCGTGGTTAAGGATATATGTATACAGTTGCCATGAAAGCTCTAAGGTTAACGTCAACAGAAGAACCACTACTCTAAATGTGATAGCTAACAGTCAGACTCTGATTGAAGATTATTTTGCGGATATACAGCGGATTACTTTTCATGGATAATTTATTAATTTTTACAATAACAATGCTATTTAGCGAAATAAACATTATATATTTTGATTTCACACAAATGTCTTTTTTTGTAAGTTATTTTTATTTATTTTTTGGGGATTGGTTTTTATTGTTATGATTTATTGTGAATTTATCTTTTCATTCGATGGACCGCAATAGCCATACAGGGCCTGAGCAAGCTTTACTGGCGCTCTAGGCAAATGACGATCACTTTCTGAAAGCCTTACATTAGTAAGATATATTGGGATTGGATAATGGGGATTCAAATAAACAATCAGGAGGGTTAACTCTTCAAAGGGTTTAGGGCAGGGATGTCAAACTTAATTCCTGGAGGGCCGCAGCCCAGCACAGTTTAGTCCCAACCCTGCTTCAACACACTTACCTGTAGGTTTCAAACAAGCCTGAAGGACTCAATTAGTTTGATCTGGTGTGTTTAATTAGGGTTGGAACTAAACTGTGTGGGGCTGTGGCCCTCCAGAAATCGAGTTAGACATCCCTGGTTCAGGGTATAGAAATAAGACCTCCCGAATGGAACTTGTTGCAAGTCTGCATTTGACGTAACTTGTACTTGCAGAGTATTGGAATTGAACATTGCCGGTTGAGGATGAAAATGAACTCAAGGATGTAACATACCCTAAAAGCTCATTTTAAGAAAGTCCTTTATTTACTTCTTCAGGTGTGTTTGACTTAAATTGGAGCAAAACTCTGCAGAAAAGCGTAACTCAAGGACCAGTGTTGAGAACCCCTTTCCTGGTTATTGTGTTTATTGGTTGTGTTGATAGTTTGTGTTTTCATGTGGACAGTGTGGGTGTCAGAGTCATGGACACCTCATGGGTGAAAGGCAAAAGCACCTCTACACTTTCCCGTAAATCCTCATCCACACCTCCCAGTGGTCAACCACCTGGATCACCAGCAGACACACTGATCTCAGAGCAGGCTGGTGAGCTGGCAACATCTCCAATCCCGACCCCCCCTCCTGGAGACAGGGGCAGGTAAAACGCACCGAACTTCCGTCATCCTTTACCCATTCTCCACCGTCATTCCAATGTACTGTATATGCATTTCACTGTCACGCTACTTGCATTAACTAACTTGAGACATCATTGTTTTCATTCAGCTATTGACTCTCTTGCTTTTGTTGCATTTGTGTATTAATGACACCATTTCTTCTGCTTTTTTATGCTTTTGTTGTTCTACTTATTGTTTTATATACCTATAAATATATTTTTTTTTTCTACAAAGTGCAGTTAGTATGGCCGTGCACACACTGCAGATGAAAACGGTTGTTTGATAGAATGTTTTTGCTGGAATTTTAACACAGACTTCAGTTGTTTACTTTTATGCCACTATCACACTAGACTTTTCGTTCCATTGACTTCTATTCATACACATACAATTGCGTCAGACCGGAAACGTAGCCTTGCATTTTCATTTTGCTGCATAACAAAGTGCATGAAACCAACAGAACTTCAAAATGTGAAAAGAATTTGCTTATTTTAGCAGTTCCGCATCATTCTTTATATCACACGCCTTTTCGCAGCACAATCCAAACGAATTTTGCGCAAAGTCTAGTGTGACCATGGCTTTACTATGTAGTGTGTACAGAACCAAACTTAAAAACTAGATCTTGAAAAACTAGCATTGAATTATTATTTACTCTCCTGAGTGTTGTTTTTTTCTTTAGATTTTTTTAAAACACCACTTGTCAATAAATACAGACCATGATTAAGCTTTGAAAAACAGGCAACATTGCCATAGATTGTTTTCATGTGAAGCATATTCTATACAGAGTGTTTGAGAAGTTCTGCGCATAGACTAATGACCAAGGTCAAGAATTAACAAAAAAAAAATATATATATATATATTTTTTTATTCAAAACATATTAAGATGCTTTGCTTTTTTATGACATTTTTACAAACATTTTTTTCCCCAAAAAAAAATAATAAATAAAACACCAGGTGAGTAAATGATCATTTTGCATTTCTCATTTTTTGTTGTAAGACTGACTCCTGTATTCAGTTTCGAGGAGAGGTGTTCAAATTCAGTCCTGGAGGGCCAGTGTCCTGCATACTTATCCCTCAACTTGACTAAAGACAAATGTCTGAAAGCTTTTATCAGAGATTGTCTTACTACAGCAGTGGTTCTCAATTCCAGTCCCCGGGCCCCTTCCCCCCTGCACATTTTGCACATTTTCCTTACTTAACACAACTGATTCCAATCATCAACTCACTTACAGAGATCCATGAACTGATCCTTGTGTGTCAAATAAGAGAAACATACAAAATGTGCAGGCTGGGGTGAGGAGGATGGGTGGTTGGGAGTTAAAGGTTAAGGTTGCTTTATACTTCTGCATGATCAGCGTGAACCATAACATGCTTTGTGCATAGTCGTGCATTTATACAAATATACTGTGTGTTGTTTAGGGTTGCTTTCCAAGTGACACTTCGGAACGCTGGATGGCAGTAGGTTTTTATGTTCCTCTGTGTCATATTTCTTCGTGGCTGTTTTTTTTTTTTTTTTTTTTGAACGCCGCATTAATGTACAAGTATCTAAAACTCGCTCATTCAGAGGTGGGAACCAGCAGACATGCAACAACTTTAATCATGAGGTAAACACAAAACATCTGGGGCCTCATTATCTGCGCTGCATACGCACAAAAACTTTGTATACGCCAGATTTTATGCTCAAAATTGAGATCGCTAACGATGAAATTAACGTGAGAATGTGCGTTGGTCCATGCGAACTACATGTCTGCCGTACGTGCATTTCTTGTGTGTGTTTGTTTTGTTTCCATTGGCAACTTCTAGAGGCTATTGTGTTAAATTGCACACTACAAAGTATCTTTGAGCCATGCAATGGCAGCTGTATGGGACGGGATCATTTGCATGTGTAGCAGGTATATAATCCTACTACATTACAAATGCAGTACAACTACTACAGTAGTATTGAAGTGATACTACTGCAATAATGCAGTACAACTACTCCAATGGTAGTGAAGTACTACAACTACTATAAAGCAGTACTGTTACTGCAATACAAATTCAGTATTTCTACTACTTTTCCTGCTCGGTGGACAATGGTTTCCAAATGAGGTTTCAGTATGTCAGTTGTATTGCTGAAGTACTACCAGGATATATTGTATTGCACTTTTTAGAACTACAGAAATACATCTACCATACTGCAATACTTAATAAAAACTGTAATACTTATGTATCTAAGTGCAATAAATTGTATAACATATCACTATTTTGCCCCGCTCAGACCATATGCATGTGCTTTACGCAGAAGTATAAATAAGCCAAAAAGGGGGCCGAGGACTGGAATTGAGAATCACAGTGAGATGAGGGAAACCGTATTACTTACAATTACAAAAAATGTAATACTAACTTGGTCACAGCCAATCACATAATGACCTCTTCTCTCCTCCCCTACAATCAGAAGAGGTCGCATTAGCCATTATGCCATGTTTGTTTGCCTTCCATAGGCTTTCTTTTTAGAATGTCTTGTAACCCCCGTTCACCTAGGCCAGGGGTCACCAATCTCATTCCTGGAGGTCCGGTGCCCTGGAGGGTATAGCTCCAACTTGCCTCAACACATCTGCCTGGGTGTTTCAAGTATACCTAGTAAGACCTTGATTAGCTTGTTCAGGTGTGTTTGATTAGGGTTGGAGCTAAAATCTGCAGGACACCGGACCTCCAGGAACAAGTTTGGTGATCCCTGACCTAGGGTATCAGTATTATTGCTTCTCATTTACTTTGAATGGATTGGTATCAAGCATTGCTAAAGTGAATTCTGGGTCTGACATGATGCATTGGGTCCCTTGCGCTGTGAAGAAGTAAAAAAAAAATCTACTTTTCAAAACAGGCCTGGAAATAGCTGAATTTCAAAATGGAGGAAAGGTGTATTATCAGGGTTGGTAATCACCCAGTTTATAACCAAAATGTCTCTGTTTTTGTGTCCAAGTTGGATATGATTCTTCACCATAACAATCACGTCAGTGTGAAGCTTCAGACATGCCCTCTGTCAATCGTTAAAACCATGTGAATGGGGTGTAAGACCTTGATTAGCTGGCTCAGTTAGATTTATGTAGGGTTAGAGTTAAAACGAGGAAGACATTGGCCCTCATGGACAAGGACTGGACATCTCTGATTTAGAGGAGTCACTCCTGGATTTCAACATGGTTGATCCTTTTGCAGTGTGTACAGGCCTATATTTGTCACAATTTGGTAGGATTGATTTCATGAATGTAAAAGATTCTTGCTGTGGCTTCTGATCCATTCAATTTCACTAACAATCAACCATTAGGCCATATTGTAATCATACATTAACAAAGTGAAGGTCACGCCATGGTTCAGTCATTGCATTTAGGGTTTGCGATGGCTGATGATTTGACTGGCTTACCTCCTCGCTCTGACGCTCTTTCAGTGATGAAAGGGTTTTTGTGTCTGTGTTTAACTGCTCTGGGTTTTCACCATTTTTAGAGTCCTTGGTTTCATCACCACCTTTAGATAGAATATTATACATTGCCCAAACCCTCTGGCGTTGGGTTCTTTAACTGAAGTAGGTTTTACCTTGGTGCAGTGCGCAGACACAAGGTCATTCTCAATGCAATTATCTGTTTTCTTTTTGATTTCAATGCATCACTGTGCTTTTCGTCCCACTGGAGTCAGGCGCCTGTATTTTTCGTTGCTAAGCTTGCTGTTTGCCAAACCTGTCGCTCATTGTTGCGCTAAACTGGCTAAATGCTCACAAACATGCAAACCAAAGGATCCAGAGAGTATTGTATGACGCTAGAGAGCCACAGCTGGAGCTAAACATCAACTTTTGCGCTGTCCCAGTTGACCAGAGCTCTCTCTCCTGTGTTTGCTCTTTATTGTTTTCAATATCTGCAGCTCAGACGACGTGTCGCCCAATCGGCCGGATTCCTCACATGTCTATGTGTCCCACGTGGAGGAGCGGCCACCCCCTCCGTACCCTTCCTCGTCCTCCCATCCCGGCCCTCACCATTTCTACCCCAAGCCCCCTCCCTGCGCTCGTCCTGTGGCCCCTGGCCCAGAGTCCCAGCCACCTGCCTCTCCGCCTCCACCCCTGCGGTGGTCTGGCTTTGCCCCACCCCAGCCCCCGCACCAACCTCAGCACCAGCACCAGCCTCAGCCCCAGCTACCACCCCCTTCCTCCTCCTCCTCCTCCTCCTCTTGCTCACTCGATATCAACTCCAACCCCAAGCCTAGCTGCCTGCACTTTCCCAAACACGGCCCTGTGTGTGACGCACCGCATGCCTCTATGCTCCATGACGTCAATTCTTCGCCCCTCTACATTAAAACCCCTCTCGTGCTGACCCGCCACGACCCCCCTAGCCTCCCCTCTTCCGCTCCCCCGCCGTGGGCTGCCTGTCCATGTGCCCGTGAGAGAGGACCCCCCAGGCTGACTAGGTAAATACCGGCTGCCTGCGGCCACCCCGCCTTCGCAACACACTGGGACGGCCACCAGGGCTCCCCACACTGTCTAAGCGGTCCATACTGGCTACTCCATCTTGTGTTTTCTACTTGCTTTGTAAAGTTATTGCTTTTTCAGCCTCATCACGCAGATGCTGTAACATTCTCATTGTCTGGGAAAGCCTGAGGTTGCCTAGCAACTGAGGATGTTACTGGTGTTTAGTGAAAGTGGATCCTTCACGTAGAAATCAATGTTGCTTTAAAGGGTCATCGAGATGTCATTCTGTTTTTCTTTTCTTCAGTTTTTCCATTTTTTTTTTTGTTTGTATTTTAATTGAAGTTTGATTTTTGTGTCATTTTTCATTGTAATTTTTAGCAGATTTTGGTAACTGGCTTTTTTTGTGGTGCTTATTTATTTGCAGATATGTGTGTACAGCTTTTAAGAAATATTTGCTTTATTTTATATATTTTTAAGCATTGTTTATTTTACATTTTAATTTTAAACTTTTTTTGCCATTTTTTCCTTTTTGTTTTATATCCAACATTATTAGCTAAAGAAATATATTTATTTATTTACTGTTTTTTTATTATTAGTTTGTCAATGGTTACATGGTTATATGCATGCAGATGAATATGTTTTCTTTGTTTGTAGGTACAGTTGAAGTCAGAATTTTTAGCCCCGCTTTGATTATGCTTTGTTTTTACTTTTTAAAATTTTTCCCAAATTATGTATAACAGAGCAAGGAAATTTTCACAGTATGTCTGATAATATTATTTCTTCTAAAGAAAGTCTTAATTGTTTTATTTCGACTAGAATAAAATCAGTTGTTAACTTTTAAACAACATTTTAAGGACAATATTATTTGCCTCTTTAAGCTATTTTTTTCCGACAGTCTACAGAACAAACCATCATTATACAATAACTTGCCTAATTACCCTAACCTGCCTAATTAACCTAATTAACCTAGTTAAGCCTTTAAATGTCACTTCAGCTGTATAGAAGTGTCTTGAAAATATCTAGTCAAATATTATTTACTGTCATCATGGCAAAGAAAAAATAAATCAGTTATTAGGAATTAGTTATTAAAACTATTTTGTTTAGAAATGTGTTTCAAAATCTGCTCTCCATTACACAGAAATTGGGAAACAAAATAAACCGGGGGGCTAATAATTCAGGTGGGCTAATAATTCAGGGGGACTAATAATTCTGAATTCAACTGTCTAATCAAATGCACATACACACAGTAAACTAAGTCTTTGTTCCAAAACCTAATGAGCAGTCAACGTAGATTGCTATGTAGATAACTTTTTAACACAAAAATTTGTCTTCCCAACACAAACACTTAAAGTTGTATTGTGTTTAATGAATAAAAAGAAAAATCCATTACCATAAAATCTGGACAGACTTAAGGAAAATTATATTGACTTAAAAGTAGCAAATTCCTCATAAATGAATTACTTAAAAATAAATTGTAAAGTACAATATTTATGAATGGTATTTGTCTTATTAACTAAACGATATGGATGAACATACTGGATGAACTGTAAATGCAGTCTCTTGTGCACTTCATATCAGTGTTTACTACATGGCATGCACAAATGATTGAAAGCGTGAAACAGAGCATAACTGAACATAATTCAACATATGGGTGTTACGGGACATACATACACTGGCCAGTTGAATGGGTAGACCTTGATAGTATACATGGTTGGATCTTTGTTTGTCTTCAGAATTGCCTTAATTCTATGTGGCACAGATTTACCAGTGTGCTGAAAACATTCTCAGAGATTTTGGTCTATATGGACATGACAGCATCAGAAAGTTGCTGGGGATTTGTCAGCTGCACATCCATGATGTAAATCACCTGTTACAGCTCTCTGGATTGAGATCTAATAGAGGCCATTTAAGCTTAAAGAACACTAGACTTTTTTTTTTGGAAATAAGCTCATTTTACAAGTCCCCTAGATATAAACAGTTGAAGTTTACCATTTTTTTATCCATTCGGCCAATCTCTGGATCTGGTGGAAGCACTTTAAGCTTAGCACAGATCAATCAGATTAGAGCATTAGTATATTGTATACCAAGGCTGACAAAAAATGCTATTTTCTAGGTTGATATAACAAGGAACTCAATAATCAATGAATTTTGCTGCTGTACCTTGGCTGATGTAGGCACAATGGTTTTACACAGAGCTGTTGCCTAGTTATCAAGCTGGTGATTACTTTAAGGTACAGTGTAATATCATTGCACCTGCTGCAGCAATTGCATTGCAGCATAATTTCCTGATTATTACACCAGAATGAGAGTATAGCTGCATCCCAAATGGCACACTATGTACTCATACACTATGTACTTATGCACACACACTCAATAGCAGAGTATATGTATGTAGTGTTGTCCCAAATGGAACACCAATGTTTTTTTTTTTTTTTACATAGCGGAAATTCAAATTGTTTCCCTGAGGACGTTTGTCAGTTGCCAAATTATTGAAATAAATGACCAAAGTACCAAGTAATACCTGCCATGAGAATAACCGCATTCAACATCATGAAGCGCTATAATTACTCTCATATTTTGCTTTCTTGATCCAAAATAAATAAAGTTTTCCAACATTATCCGATAGCTCCGCTACATGGGCAAAGCTGAGACTGTTAAGTGCGTGAAGTGTCCATCATTCCACACTTCATTTTACCGGTTGAATGAGTGCATCATCCGGTAATTAAAGTTTTCAGTGTGAATGCACTACTTACACTATGTATACTACAAAATGACATAGAATAGTGCATAAGTATGCGATTTTGGACGCTCCTTATATTTATGCTAAACTAAGCTAAGCTAAAAATTCTCCCACCAAATGTATCAAACAGCTGAATGGATTCAAAAGTGGTTAAACTAAACTGCTTAATTCTAAGGGACTTGTAAAATGAGACAACTTCCAATGAAAGTGGAGTGTTCCTTTAAGGTCATGTTCAAGAATAAAGTTTTGTGACAAAGCACATAGTCCTACAGGAATTAGGATACACTTTAGGGACTGAATGATTGGTCAACATGGTCAACAACAATATTTATGGTAGGTTGAGGTTTTTAGACAAGTCTTGGTTGGTCCAAAAGTGGTGTTCAGCTAAGTCCCGTTATTAATCTGGAGTCGCCACAGCGAATGAACTGCCAACTTATCCAGTGTTGTGAATTTCTCTGTCTGGCTCACGACATCAAAACTGTTGTAAAATTCTAAGACGAGCCAAAAAACCAGGGAGAACTTTTGGGTATCTTCAAAGCAGAATCCTTTAATAAGAAAAACTCGGCGTCGCTGTGGCATCATCAAAAGAACTCTGGATTAGTACAGCAGACACTCACTTTAAATACATTTTTACAGACATTGATAAATGTAGGTGGGGACAGTCTAAAACAAAGCATGCAAATGAAGTGTTATTGTCAGCAGGGTAAATTGCCTTTCCAGATAAGTTCCCATTCACGATACATTTTAGCATGAAAACAGTGTGCAAATTATGTTCTAGAGACAGAACCCGTCTGATCAGTTGACTGGCTTGACCATTTGTTAGACAATAGACACATCTGTGCTGTGAAACTGACAATTTGCATTACTTTGGAGACAGTCCGGGCTCAGAAAACCAAGAGATTTTAAGGTGTCACATCCTAAAAACCAAAGAATATAACGTTTTAGTAATATATAGATTATTGCTAATTTAACAATCATACACACTAATACATACAGAAAATTTAGCTTACCCAAATCACCTGTACCACATGTCGTTGGACTTGTGGGGGAAACTGGAGCACCCGGAGTGAACCCACGCCAGCACAGGGAGAACATGCAAACTCCACACAGAAATGCCAACTGACCCAGCCGAGGCTCAAACAAACAAACGTCTTGCTGTGAGGCAAACGTGTTAGCCACTGCGCCAGCATGCAGCCCCAAAAGGTGTGTTTCAAGGGAAAAAAACAATAAAAAAAAAATGGCAGCCTTGTATGTTGATAAAAAAACAGGATGGATTTATAATTTCTTGTTGTTTACACCAAATCCTGACATTACCATCCAAATGTTGCAGCCCAAATCAAGACTTATTAGACTTATTAGACTAGGCAACCTTTTCAAGTCTAAAATATTGTCCTATTTTGTGAATTGCACAGCCCGAGTTGTTTATTTTTATCTGGCAGGAGTGTCACCGGTGTCTCTTCTTTTTCTGCTGCTGTAGCTCATTTGCATCCAAGTTTGACATTTTGTGTTTACAGAGATGACCTTCTGCAGACCTTGTAGTTTGATTTGTGGAGTTACTGTTGTGTTTTTATCAACTAAATCAGTCTGCTCATGCTCTTCTGACCTCCGGTTTCAACAAGGCATTTTCACCCACACAACTGCTCACTTGTTGTTTCGTCTTTTTTAGACATGTGATGTTTTTGTTACCCATATGGACTTATAGTGATTAACAGCAACTACTCTAGTGTGTTAAAATGATCTTCCATGGTGGTTCTAGTTGCTATGGTAAAACAGCAACTATATTTACAGTTGATATCAGAAGTTTACACTGTATAAAAAGGCAGATAGCCATTTAAAAAAGTCAGATGTTAATGTGACTAAACTTTTTCTCTTTTAGGTAAGTTAGGATTATCAAATTTGTTTCTGTTATCCTTATAGCAGAATAATGAGAGAGATATCTTTTAAGAAATTGTTATAACTTTTGTTACGAACCCTTTTTTAATCAAATCAGAATAATTAAGTCATGAAAGGAACGCAACATAAAGAGTACACATGAACTAAGTTGTCTAAATTAATACATTTATTACAACCAAAACAATCCAACAAATCATGTGTCACAACTAAACATTTTAAGAATGAATAAAGAATCAATAACTCACGTTCTCCAACAACATACAAAGACTAAACAACTCAACAATTAACAAATTAGAGCAAAGTAAGACTTAAAGAAAAGAAAATAGTAAATTAAAGAAACGAAAAGAAGCTTGATGGCTGGCAGTG